TTCAATCTACACATAGATTAGGTAAAACCTATTTAGTATGATTTTGTGGAGGAACAATTCTTAGAATATATGCGAGATGATTCTCTATTAAGTGCTTTGAGGAACCAACAAGGGGAACAGGCTAATTTGAAATATAATGCGGTGAAACAATAAAGGGATACCTAAAATGGAGCTTTAGGAAAGTTAATACCATAATGGCCATAGAGCTAGTGGATCATTGATGATTATCTTTCAAAATTCAAGTAATTCTTCAATGAAGCCTGAAGACTGGAAGATTGCAAATGCAATCCCAGTTTTTAAGAAAAGGAGTGAGAACACTGGAAACTCCAGACCTGCTAGATTGACATCATTTGTAGGGAAATGACGAGAAACTATTATAAAGGATGGGATTCCTGGATATTTAGGAAAGAAAACCTGATTGGACAGCTTCAATGTGGATGGCTGCAAAACCTGATGGATTTTTGTTTTGAGGATTTAACTAGCAGAATTGATAAAGGGTGACCCAAAGGACATGGTGTATTTAAATTTTCAAAAGGCTTTTAATAAAGTACCACATAGCAAGTTAGTGTAAAAAAAGGTAAAGCACGTAAGATTGGGAGATAATATATGAACATGGATTGAAGTTTGATTGACAGGCAGAAAGCAAACAGTAGACAAGTGTCATTCATTGGGTGGCCACTTGCAACCACTGGGGTATGACAAAAATCAATGCTTCAGCCCTACTGGTTCACAATCAAAATCACTGATTTGGATTTCGGAATTAAATTGGTGGACAAGTGTTGTGAGGAAGATGTAAAGAAGTTTCAAAAGGATTTGGAGAAGCTAAGTGAGTCTTCAAAGATTTGGCAAATGGAAACCTAATGTGTAGAAATGTGAAGTCATCTGTTTTGGTTTGAATAACAAATATACAGAGTACTTCTTCAATGATGAAAGGCTGGGAAGTGTTCATGAGTCACTAAAGTTAATGTAAGGATACAACAAGCAATTAACAAGGCAAATAGTTTCTTGGCCTTTATTATAACAGGATTTAAATATGGAAGGCAAATTTCTTACTACTATTACATAAAACCTTGGTGAGATCAAATCTCCAGTACTGCGCAGTTTCAATATCCTTGCATATGGAATGATATACATGCCACAGAGGCAAAGGTTCAAACTAATGCAAACTAATTCCCAAAACAGAGTGATCACGCTATGAGGAAATAGGAAATATGCTGGGCCGATATCCTCTGGAGTTTATAAGAATGAGAGGTGATGACATGCAAACATATAAAATTCATAGAGGGATTTATATAGTAGATGCTGGAATGATGTTTCCACAGGATAGAGAATCTATAACACTGGGACAGAGTGTCAGAATATGGGGTAGGCCATTTAGGACTGAGAAAAGAAGTTCCTCCTCATCTCAAAGCGTGCTGAATCTTTGGAATTCTCTGCCTTAAAGGGCTGTGGACACCTGGTCATTGATTACTTGCAAGTCTGAGATTGAAATTTCTTCATGTTAAAGTCATTAAGAAATAGGAGATTTGTGTGGGGAAATGAAATTGAAGTAGATCAGCAATGGGTTCACTGAATGGCAGAACAGGCTCCCAGAATCAAAAAAACTGTTCTGGTGCAGAAGGAGGTCGTTTGGCACATCCTGTATGCACTGCATCTCTGAATGAGTGTTATAACTTTGTGCCATTCTCATTCTATTGGCCTACCATGTAATTCTACACATTGCTTCTATTCAAAGAATCATCCAATACCCTCTTAATCAACTTGAAATGTTGAAAAATCGAAGGGCTGGTTGGTCAACTCCTGCTCCTATTCTTATGTTCTTTATAAAACTATAATAATTAGCATTTAAGCAAAAATTATCATCTTTCCTGGATATTTAGTTCCAAGTTATGAAATACCTTCTAGACTTATGATCAGTACCTCATAATCTTGGTGCCAAAGTTCACATGCTCTACAATCTAATACTAAGCTCTTCAAGTGAGAAGAGATAGCAACACAACACATATGTAGTGTAGAAAAAAGAAGCAAGCCCAAATGGTAAATGTAAATGAAAAGACATTTCGATCAGTCTTTGAATTGCATGTGAAAGTGTTGATCCAAAAACACTGAGGTCGTTAGTGGATGGCACCAGTAGCACTGATGTTGGTAGCTCAGAAATCAATCTCAAGATCCTTGGTTTTATAGGTTGATCAAAATTCCTTTGACCTGATCCCCTTTGAATTGGCTGGCTGCATTGAAAATTTCTCCATTTCATTTTACCTGCAATCCAGTTCTACTTCTTTAAATTTAGCTCCTAGCTAAATCTATCAGAGATAGTAGGAACTGCAGATGCTGCAGAATCTGAGATAACAGTGGGTAGAGCTGGATGAACACAGCAGGCCAAGCAGCATCATAGGAGCAGGAAGGCTGACGTTTTGGGCCTAGACCCTTCATCAGAAATGGGGGAGGGGAAGGGGATTCTGAAATAAATAAGGACAGAGGGGGAGGCGGATAGAAGATGGATAGAGGAGAAGATAGGTGGAGAGGAAACAGACAGGTCAAAGAGGCGGGGATGGAGCCAGTAAAAGGTGAGTGTAGGTGGGGAGGTAGGGAGGAGATAGGTCAGTCCAGGGAGGACGGACAGGTCAAGGGGGTGGGATGAGGTCAGTAGGTAGGTGATGGGGTTGCGGCTTGAGGTGGGAGGAGGGGATAGGTGGGAGGAAGAACAGGTTAGGGAGGCGGGGACGAGCTGGACTGGTTTTGGGATGCGGTAGGGGGAGGGGAGATCTTGAAGCTTGTGAAATCATTGTGATACCATTGGGCTGCAGGGTTCCCAAGCAGAATATGAGTTGCTGTTCCTGCAACCTTCGGGTGGCATCGTTGTGGCACTGCAGGAGGCCCATAATGGACATGGCGTCTGAGGAATGGGAGGGGGAGTTGAAATGGTTCGTGACTGGGAGGTGCAGTTGTTTATTGCGAACCGAGCGTAGGTGATCTGCAAAGCGGTCCCCAAGCCTCCGTTTGGTTTCCCCGATGTAGAGGAGGCCACAACGGGTACAGCGGATGCAGTATACCACATTAGCAGATGTGCAGGTGAACATCGGCTTGATGTGGAAAGTCTTCTTGGGACCTGGGATGGGGTGAGGGAGGTGGTGTGGGGGCAGGTGTAGAACTTCCTGGGGTTGCAGGGAAAAGTGCCGGGTGTGGTGGGGCTGGAGGGGAGTGTGGAGCGGACAAGGGAGTCACGGAGAGAGTGGTCCCTCCGGAAAGCAGATGAGGGTGGGGAGGGAAAAATGTGTCTTTGGTGGTGGGGTCAGATTGCAGATGGCGGAAGTGTCGGAGGATGATGCGTTGGATCCGGAGGTTGGTGGGGTGGTACGTGAGGACGAGGGGGATTCTTTTTTGGTTGTTATTGCGGGGATGGGGTGTGTGGGATGAGTTGCGGGAAATGTGGGAGACACGGTTGAGGGCGTTCTCGACCACTGAGGAGGGGGGGAAGTTGCTGTCCTTGAAAAACGAGGACATCTGAGATGTATGGGATTCACAAGCTTCAAAATCTCCCCTCCCTCTACCGCATCCCAAAACCAGTCCAGCTCGTCCCCGCCTCCCAACCTGTGCTTCCTCCCACCTATCCCCTCCTCCCACCTCAAGCCGCACCCCCATCTCCTACCTACTAACCTCATCCCGCCCCCTTGACCTGTCCGTCCTCCCTACCTCCCCACCTGCACTCACCTTTACTGGCTCCATCCCCTTCTCTTTGACCTGTCTGTTTCCTCTCCACCTATCTTCTCCTCTATCCGCCTCCCCCTCTCTCCCTATTTATTTCAGAACCCCCTTCCCCTCCCCCATTTCTGATGAAGGGTCTAGGCCAAAACGTCAGCCTTCCTGCTCCTATGATGCTGCTTGGTCTGCTGTTCATCCAGCTCTACACTTTGTTATTCAAAATCTAACTTTGCTGGATACTAGATCACTGAAGGAGCAAACACATTAAGCAGCTATAATTTGAAATCATTTCATTACCCATTTGTTATGCATGTCCTGACTGAGAAGCTGAATGGTAGATGTGGTTCAGGGATAAAAAGTCTCGGAGAACTGTAGGCGTTTCCTTTTCGATGACATGCAAGTTGTCACTCAGCCAGCATGGCACCTTGGTTAAGTTGGAATTATGTTGAGTGTTTTGGAAGAATTTTTGCTGTGAGGCCTAGCATCTTTTCTTGGAATATCTGGCCAAAGTTGCCACATTTACCATCTACCCTGCCGCTAGGTCATCCATTATGTCTGACTCTGGCCCCATCATAACCAAGCACTGTTACTAGAATAACTCACCACTCGGTGATACCCTCATAACAAGGAATGTATCTCCATCAATCATCCACTTTCAGGCTCAGCAGCAGAGTAGATAGTGAACATGGCAACTTTGGTAAGATATTTCGAAAAAAAACATGCTAGGCCTCAATGGAAATTCCTCAAAAGAACTCAATGTAATTTGGACTTAACCAAAAAAAGTGTAAAATTCAGCACATTATCTAGAATACTACTCCACTAACACGTACCCGTATAATGGCTATATTAATCATTGTTATAGCAATTAGAACAGCAAACTAAATTGTTTTATGTGTAAGAATAATATGCTACCTTCTCCCAAAACATTTTTCATTACTTAGAGGCAAGACTACATATATTTACATTTAGGAAATTATTATGAAGCAAACTCATGTTTTATGGCACAAGGGAGACATAGAAACTAGAAAACAGTTCTTGACTAATAGTCTACCTTTATAAAAGCCAAAGCATCATGGTAAAAGTTATATACAAGTAAGGTTTACCAGTAAATTTTAAACTATTTATGCCAAAAAACAACATGACAGCAACCAAAAACATGCAAAATCATAAATACAATTAATTGGAAATAGATTTACATCTCTGGGAATGTATCACGAAAAGATGATTATCATACAACATCGTAACACACTTAATGAAGATCAGCTCAAAACAAATTATTTCCCTAATGCTAAGTGTACCTGGTGATATAATGTAGAAGAAGTCTTTGAAGTCATCCATCCAGACTTCTGCTAGGCGTCGATTGTTCTTGTTAATAATATGTCCAGTACCACCAGGGAAAGTGTATGGAGTTGCCTTGCGGAACACATGACCAACATGCGAACAAGTAATAATTTCCAAAGAACCACCACACTGCCATATCTGAGAAAAGACAAAGGATATTATCTTCTGTTTTTGGTATCCATTTACCAAAATCACATGACTACACGTGGTGTCAATACTCCAAAAACTCAAAGTCAATGGTACCCTCCTGCACTCTGGTGTGTAGAACTCATCTTGCATTATGTTTGATACAATGAATATTGTTGTTGTTCTGAAATAATAAACATGATGTACTCTTCTTAAATGTGACTCTTTTCAATGAGTTCTTTTCAAAAATTGCAGAAAATAGATTCATAAAATTTATCAAGGATGCCCACGTTTCTAGACAATGCTCATCAATTTATTGACAGTAATAGCAAGTATATTTGGTCATGGGCCTATTAAATTAATATTGAAAACATACTTTAATTTATACTGTACTAACATTCAAAATCCCTTTTATCTAATAACGTATGTATTTTGCTCCAAAAATTCTGAAATCGTTTCTTGAAATCAGGATCTTGACCATGGTAGAACATAGGAATAAAATCAGTTAAGTGTACTTCTGTTGGTCCCTTATCACACAATAATATGCATAGAATTTACCGATGGAAACAATCTTGCACAGTAATGAGATGTTTATTCTAATCGAAAGGGCTTAGTATTATTCTAATCTAATAAGAGGGTTAAATATGAAATATTCCCATCACGATGCCTCTGAAATCTTAGAGGAGCCTAAGTAACATAGGTCATGGTGAGATTTGTGGCAGCACTACACAAGAAGTCTGGCCAGACCTCTCTCGATGCCATGAACCACTCAGTGCATTTTAAACTATGTTCCAGGAGTCAAAGTGAGATTTTCACTAGAAGGGAGATTATTGCTTTTTAACAAACTTTTAATTGCACACTTTGCTTTACAAATATGCAGTTTCCTGTATGACCAATCAACGGGAGGAAATTAGGCATAGAGAATTCTCGACATGGAAGTCAGAGCAGATAACTGGAATCTTCAGCTCACTCAGAGATAGTAGGAACTGCCGATGCTGGAGTCTGAGATAACAAGGTGTGGAGCTGGATGCTGTATTCATCCAGCTCCACACCATCTTCAGCTCACTGTTGGCTGCAAAGAACCTCCACGATGGTCGCCAGGCAACAGGACCTCAGGGAACAATCCATGTGGATCAGATACACGTAACCATTGTTCACGGACACTGGCATCCAATAATTACTAACTTCTCATGATCCAGGTGACACCTCTCCAATCCACATGCAGCATGCTTAGGAAGTGTAAACTTGTATTTCAGAGCCTACTGGCAACCGGCATTGAAAAGCTGCCGAAAGGATACTTTGCACACAGGGACAGGCACCCAGTTTACAAATCAGACCAGGTTGCATCACAAGGCTGCCCACTTACTCTCTCTGCACTCACTTATTTAGCGCCTATTTGCACGCTTGCAACATCCATGCTTGCCTGTTAGTGCATTTGCATTTCAGCCAAAGCATAAAGGTTATCAGCACTGTTATTTAGTGTGCTTTTTGTGCAGACACACAGCAGACTGCTTGTCATACTTGACACTAAGGAACTCTCTGGTAGAGGAAGTCAACTTGCTAAATGGCACACTAATAATCAATCTAATTCATGTAGCTTGAGCCAGTTGCCTATATGGCTAACAGCATTATGTTTTTATTTAGCCAAGTGACCATGTTACAAAGTAGGTGGGTCTATTCCTCAGTCCAGTCAAGTCAGAGGACCTAGTACCATGAGTTAGGGACAGACTCTGCACACAGTCTAGGGGATTGGCAATGGTGAGTCATCCACTTGGAGGGTGGTGCCGGTTAGGGGATAAGTCCGACTCTAGCCTGGGAGTGGTTTTCATTTCACTCGTATTCTTTTGGATGTTGATGGCCTTTCCACCTGTTTACCACCCAATATCCTACAACTTGTCTCATCTGGGATCCCATTTCTTCCCTTCCACCAGCCAGCCCCAGCACCCCCGTCATCCCTCACCCTATCCATTTAGTTGAAATGAGCTCTAATGGTGTCTTGCAAGTGTCTTTGTCCATACATGATTTAAATGCAGCCTGTCTCTTCCATGCAAGTCCCTTCCATCCTGAAAGGAGCTGCAGGTCACTCTAAAAGTAACATTTTATTCTCATAGCATTGTAAATCTGCTCACAAAGGTTGTTTTGACATTTTTATTATTTTAGTTCATGATATTTTAAAAATGTCACAGAGAATGCAGCTTAAAAAATACAAAACATAACAAAATGAGTTTGTCTCCTTTACAACACACGGTACCTGCACAAATACATTAAGGATTAAGCTGATAAATACGAAGTGCCATGCTAGTGCACATTAGAAAAGAAAGCATTTATTTGATTTATTTATTGTCACACATATTTTGTTACAAAATATAGTGAAAAGTGTTATAGTGTTGCCACTCTCTGCTGCAATCTTAAAATACAGATAAATAAACCAAAATCTAGAATACAAAGGCATAAGAATAAAGAAATAAAGAATAAGTGTTCAACTTCACAGTCCTTCTTGTTAAGTGCTCTGCCATGAGCTTGGCAACCAGACACAAATCTCTTCGCCACGCCACCACCACTGGAACAGAAGTCACCACTCCTTGGCACCAACTCACCACTAGGAGGCCTCACTGGACCTCGCCGATGCTGCCTGGTACCGCACTTGCCCAAACTCTACTACACCACCACCAAGAGTCCGCTTCGGGCCCACCTTGCCAATGCAGCCACTGCTGATGCCAATGCTGCAGGGTCTCGTACTGGGCCCAGACTCATCCCCACCACTGCCTCTGTGAATCTGCACTGGACGCAGAAGCTGCCTAGAACCCAAACTCTCTCTGCCGCCACAAGTCTGCGCTGGGCCACCAACGATGCTGTCGCCGTGACAGAGGTCTTCCACAAGAGGTATGTAAAATAGAAGTGAAAGAAACAAGAAAAGAGGGAAAAAAAGGAAAAGAAACGAAAAGTGGATGGAGCCCTACTCAAAAGCCCTACTCCACAGCCATTTACCAGAAGTATACACCATATACCATAATCAACATCAAAACATAGTACATGTTCAAAATCAATGTGGTAACTTGCATATTCCACATTACACAATAAGTATGGAAATGCATCAGATACTGCTTAGTTCTCAGAAATGTGACAAAGTTTAAGTACCTTTCTTTCTCATTAAATCTAAAATGCTGCAATATATTAAAATATGACAGCAGAATCTCCAGAGAAAATATCATTTATGCAGTACATTATCATCCTTTTCAATAGGTCTGGCTTTACTTTGTATGATACTACATGTGGTCTATTTGTGGCTGACAGTGATTGACCTGGTACACAGTTGGGTTTTAAATTTGATGATGTTGGCAGCAATCCTAACAGCTCCTGGCAGTGGTAAGTACCTCCGCCAGCACTGAACACTAGCAACATCCTGAAGGTTACCACTGACCAAAAATTGAGCTATACTAGCCAAATAAATAAAATGGCTACAAGAAGAGGTCAGAGGCTAGGAATAATACAGTGAGTAATTCACTTCCTGACTCTCCAAAGCTTGTCCACCATCCACAAGGTACAGTTAGGAGTTTGATGGAATACTCCCCCTTGCCTGAACGGGTGCAGCTCCAACAACACTCAAGGAGCAATAAGCTTTTGGGTAATAAATTATGGGTGGCACAGTGGCTCAGTGGTTAGCACTGCTGCCTCACAGCACCAGCAACCTGGGTTCAATTCCAGCCTCAGGCGACTGGCTGTGTGGAGTTTGCACATTCTCCCTTTGTCTGCGTGGGTTTCCTCCGGGTGCTCCGGTTTCTTCCCACAGTCCAGAGATGTTTCAGGCTAGGTGGATTGGCCATGCTAAATTGCCCATAATGTTCAGGGATGTGTAGATTAGGTGGGTTACAGAGGGGATGGGTCTGGATGGGATGCTCTGAGGGTCGGTATGGACATGTGTAGGGATTCTATGATTCTATGAAGCTTGAGACTATCCAGCACAAAGCAGCCCGCTTCATTGGCACAACTTCCATAACTGTCCACTCCCTCCACCACCAATGCTCAGTAGCAGCTGCAAAATGCACTACAGAAAATCACCAAAGATCCTCAGACAGCACTTACCAAACACTAGAAGGACAAGAGCAGCAAATATATGGACCACCTGGCAAGTTCCCCGCCAACCCACTCACTATCCTGATTTGGAACTGTACCACCATTTCTGTGGTGTGTTTGGGACAAAATCTCGCAATGCCCTCCCTAACAGCATTGCTGGTCTTCCTACAGTACATGGACTGCAGTGATTCAAGATGGCAGCTCACCACCACCTTCTCAAGGGCAACATGGGATGTGCAATAAGCTGTCCGTGTCAGTACTGTGAATAAAAAAAAAGTAATGCGAGAGTAGAATCATCGAAGTGTGGTGCATATGTAATGAGGTGAGCAACAGTATTACGTAAGTTTAGAGGTCACAGAGAAAATCCTCCGTGAAACTCCCTGAAATTGACACTTAGCTGATTTTTAGAAAAATTCAGGCCTTTTTTTTTTAAACTTTGCTACAAGCTTTTAATATTTTATGTACTTGGCTTCAAATTTCTTTGTTCCTTTTTATTTTTTCACCATGTGGAAAATAATTTCACTCATCTTTCTTGTCAAAATTAGGTGGTACGTATTTTCACATACTTAATTTCATTTGCCATTATACTACCCACTTCGTTAATCTATTTCAACCCACTGCTCTCATTTGTACTACATAATCCTCCATTAATTATGTATAAATAATTCTGAATTTATACATGTATTTCCAGAAATTGTATTTACAAAGTAAACCAAGTCACAACTACTTCTTTTCTATCCTATTTGCTAGCTTTCAATCTCTCCCCTATGAAGTACTTTGAGATATTGATTATGTTAAAGCCAATACTCATATACGAGTTTGTTGGAAATTATACTGACAGGAAAATTAAACCATGTCATGTACAATCACCCACTTCTGCTTCTTTGCCCTTTAATTCTTTCTCAAATTAAAGTACACAGCAATTTTCAGTTTCAGCAAATAAATGACTCCAATGCAGCTGCTCGTGCACGTTCCATCACTTACATACTGGTGACAAGAGTGCAATGCTCAACTTAAGCAAAATGTGCTGAGGCAACAGCTATAACCATTTGTCCCCAGTTAAACGCGGCAAGGGAGGCTGCTGACAGGAGTGAAAGGGAATTGCAGAGCTTTTGAATGGATAATTCTGGTGTAATTTAGGACTGACGGTTTTGAGACAATGAATCATTTTACTCAATTTTCCGCTGATGACTGATAATAGAGCAAAGTCCAATCGATATACTCTTGAGAAAAGCTGTGCGAGGTGCTTAACCCTTTTTCATACTAGGCTAGAGGTGGATTCAATCACTAGAACTTTTCCCAGGAATCTACAATTGTTTATTTGATATCGTAGAATCCCTACACTGTGGGAGCAGGCCATTCAGCCCATCAAATCCACACTGACCCTCCAAAGAGCATCCCAACTTTAACCCTGACTTTCCCCATGGGTAATCCACCTAGCTTGTACATCCCTGGACACTATGGACAATTTAGCATGGCCAATCTACCTAAACTACACATTTTTTTGATTGTGGGAGGAAACCAGAGCACCTGGAGGAAACCCACCCAGACAGGGGGAGAATGTGCAAACTCCACATAGACCAGTTGCCTGAGGGTGAAATTGAACCGGGTCCCTGGTGCTGCTAACCACTGAACCACCGTGCCACCCCCTGATGTTTTGCTTTTATTGTAATCGTTAAACTTTATTTAAAAGTAAATGCTAAATCTGCACTAACTAATTCATAACCAGGCAGACAAGATTCTTTTTTTGATAATTGAACATATCATTTTGATACAAACATAAGTAGCAGGATGATCTACTTACTTACCCGAAAGGACATTTCCAGGTTCTCTCCACCCCAAATATCCATTCCTGCATCATATGTTCCAATTTCTTCAAAATAATCCCTATCAATGGAAAACAAGCCCCCAGCCATGGTAGGTGTCCTAAAGGATTAAATAAAAACATATTTGATCTCTAGTACAGTCTTTATGATAAATACACTAGTTTAGTAATGTAAGTAATTATGTTATAAAAAATAATTATTAGTCTCCAAAAATAGATTGGTGATTTAAATTCCTAGAACAGAAGTTTCATTTTTATTTCCCTGTGCTCAACCACTTTTTCAGCATTAGCAATGTTGGTTGGATTTATATGTCTGTTAAATGGGTTGTAGTTGAAGATCTGTCATCGTCAGTGGAACATTTGCTACTTAATTCAATCGTATCAAATTAAATTTCTTAATAATAATCTACTGGTCATATATCACAAGCTCCAAAAACAACAATCAAGAATAAAATTTATGATAATTTTGTTACAAGTAGGAGAAAAAGGTCTAGGAGCCCTGAGATACCAAGCTCTTAAAAATATGAAACGTTCATCCCTGTATCTTAACTTCACAGAAGTAGCCTGATCATAATCACACTGTCTGTTATTCAAAACTGTAACTTGAATTATTAAAAATAAAATTCCTCCTGACGTGGATTAAGACAGATTATTTCAGAACAATGGCATATGTAGACCTATTTAAAAATATCCATTCATCTTATTTTTAAAAACTGCTATTGCTACAGCCCCATACATTAAAAATATGGTTAACTGACACATGTATCAATAACAGAAGCAACTCATCCATAGAACCCTTTTGTGGCAATCTGAGCTCTGTGCAGAGATCAACAGCTTTATGTAGTTACAATTTAACATTTTAACAAAAAATGTTATTTTTCCTAAAGTTTTTGTCAATGGCTCAAAATTCATCTGCACAAGATAAAGAGGTATCAATTTTTATAGCCTCTGTATAGCAGGGCGGGGGGGGTGATAATGGAGGGATGGGAGCATTAGTTGATATGGAGCAACACTGGGAGTGGGCAAGGGAGTAAGGGCCTGTGGAAGATGAGAGCTGGAGAGTCTACAACAAAAACAAATCAACTATGATCAGAGACCTGAGGCAGGCCTTTTAGGAATATAGGAACAGGACTGGGCCATTCAGTGTATCAATATTGCTATGCCTTTCATTACTATCATAGCTGATCATCTACTTCAATGCTTTTTTCCTACAGTGTCCCCATATTTCTTTACATCATTGGTATTTAGAAATATGTCAGTCTCGACATACTTAGTGACTGAGCATTGACAGCCCTCTGGTGTAGAAAATTCCAAAGATTCATAACACTTTGAGTAAAGAAAATTCTCATCTTGATTGTAAGTGACTTCCTCTTTATCTTTAAATTGTGTCAGCTGTTTCTAAACTACCTAACTACAGAAAAATCTTGTCTGCATCTACCCTGTTTATCCCTCTAATGATTTGGCAGCTATCAAGAGATGACCTCTCAGTCTTCAAACATCTAGAGAATATGGGCCCAGTTTTCCCAAACACACTTCATCAGAGAGTCCAACCATCCCAGAACTAGTTTACTGAACCCTGTTGGACTCTCTTTGTAACAATAATATCTTTCCTGAGATAAGGAGACTAAAGCTAAACACAGAACTGCGTGTACAAACCAACGAAGTTCTATTCAATCGAAGCAATATTTCAAATTTGCTCAAATCCTCTTGCGATAAAGGCTGATCTACCATTCACCTTCCTATTTGCTTCAGGTACCTGCATATCAGTCTACAGTAGCTTATTGATGAGGTTCCCCGAGTCCCTTTGGACATCTATACTTTCCAGCCTCTTATCATTTAAGAAATATGTCTCCATGAAAATATGGCTCAGTGTACAAAAGCAAGGAATTTATGCTAAATCTTAGTGAAATACTGAATTGACTTCAAAACACATATTTAGGGAAGATGCAAAGGTTTTAGAGAATGATTACAGCAAAGATTTATGAGAACAATTCCAGGGACAGGTACTTAAGTAAATACATTGGAGAATCTGTAGCCATTCTCCTTAAAGAGGAATTAGGAAACATTCAGAATCATGAAGGCTTAACTAAACAAAGTAGATGAAAAGAATCTATTCCAATCAGCAGTAGGATTGAGAATCAGGGTGCACAAATTAAAGCGAATGGCAAAAAAATGAAGGTAACATAGAAGATAGAGAACATAGAACAGTATAGCACAATACAGGCCCTTCGGCCCACGATGTTGTGCCGACCTATTATCCTAAGATCAATCTACCCTGCATACCCTATATTTTACTATCCTCCATATGCCTATCCAAGAGTCGCTTAAAAGTGTCTAAAGTCTCTGACTGTACTACCGGCAGCGCATTCCACACGCCCACGACTCTGTGAAGAACCTACCTCTGATATCTCCCCTACACCTTCCTCCAATCACCTCAAAATTATGCCCCCTCGTATTAGTCATTTCCGCCCTGGGAAAAAGTCTCTGGCTATCTACTCTATCTGTGCCTCTCATCATCTTGTACACCTCTATCAAGTCACCTCTCATCCTTCTTCGCTCCAATGAAAAAAGCGCTAGCTCCCTCAACCTTTCCTCATGAGACCTGCCCTCCAGTCCAGGCAACATCCTGGTAAAACATGAGGGAAAACTTATGGTTAGGATCTGGAGTGCTCTGCAGCTAGCTAAATTGTTCTTTTAGAGAGTTAGCATTGATTCAATGTATTGAATGAACTTTCTCTGTGCTGTTAATACCTACAATTCACCATCCTCAGCAATTTAGTGGAAACAAGAAATCAGTCACATGTATTAAGTTCAACTCAGACAAGGTCTCAGTTTTTATGGAAGAAAACTAATCCTGGGTCAGGGCAGAGGGAATTCTGGGGATTATCATCATATTAGGGCAGAGCAAACTAACACGGTAGCTGCAAAGAAAGTCTCAACTTTCATAAGAGTGCATAAGGTCTTTGAATATGTTATTTCAAAGTGTAAGAATGCAAGTTTAATGTAACTGCTTCATCCTGGACCAAATTTTACTAATATGCTTCACAAGGCCAAAAAATCTCTTCAAGGAAACTATGAATTTTGCAAGAGATAGTAGGAACTGCAGATGCTGGAGAATCCGAGACAA